ATTCAAACAACTGCGTTTTCGGCGAGTTCCGGCGGAAGGTTTGGAACCTTATCGAAGAGCCCACAAGGTATGCTACCGTCCCTATTTATACCCATAAGCATGTCAAGCTCATGGTTGATGAGCTGGGCCTAAACCCTTCCTCATGCAAATTAGCACTGCTTTTTCATTTACCTTACTTGTAAGGCTGTGCAATAGTTAAAATTTCGTTCACATCTTGAATCACAACAGAATTTACGTATGGCGGGAAGGACCAATGTGACTGGTTTTCAGTTCCGGTTACGCCCAGGTTTTTGCCACGTTATCCGTGCTGTTCGTGCTGATATCTATTTCTGGACTCGTCCTCGGCTCACTTCCGGAGCTCCAGATTTCCGTACAAAAGAATACTACTCAAGGTATGACTTTCAATGAAGAGTAACAGCGTCCTTGCAAGAACCAACAAGGTTCCACTCTTGCGCCGGTTAGGGTAAGGCAGAGAGGACGATAGTTTGACCAGGCGTGCAAGAAAGCTAGGTATCTGAGCAGAGTATATGGAGGCTTTTTTGTACCTGAATGAGCTCTCCAGGCGATATAGCAAAACCATAAGGACTGCGTTCTGCCTTCGAATTTCCTCCGTCTTCAAGCAATGGCTCCTATCGTTAGCTCTCATTTTTGCGTAACTTTCACATGGTACCAGTTATTCTATCCTTTGATCACTTGAAGCCTGATAACCTGACCATGAAATGCTGCCAAAAAACAACAGCTATTATTTTTTTCTGACTCAGCACACCTCAGCCAGCATTTGCCGATAGTTTGCGAATCGAGCGATTCGCTAGCAAAGTTGCTCCAGCGAATCGAACGTTGCACCAGCGAGTCGAACTATGTACCAGCGAGTCGAACGATGTACCAGCGACTCAATAGTGGCGGGACCCAACGTTCAAAGGAAGCCCGCCACTTTCAAAGTGTCACGTGACAGTGGACACTGTTTGAAAGTGGCGGGCTTCCTTTGAACGTTGGGTCCCGCCACTATTGAGTCGCTGGTACATAGTTCGACTCGCTGGTACATAGTTCGATTCGCTGGTGCAACGTTCGATTCGCTGGCGCAACGCTCGGATCCAGCGATTCGCTAGCGAATCGCTCGATTCGCAAACTATGACATCGGCCATTCGCTTTGCTTGCTAGATGTCGGCGTTATAAGAACGATGTCGTCAGCAAAAGCGAATTTGATGTAGCTACCGGCCGTCGACCTTCACTCACTTAACACGTTGACGACAACGCGAGTTTTGGCTTTTTTGGCCACGTGGGACCGCGGCGATTTTGCGGGCGCGCTCGCCTCAGGTCGTTCAAGCAGATTTTGAGTGATAAATACATAAACTAATGATCAATTCAAAACCAATCAGTAAATTGTAATGAGCACAACCTACCCAGGGGTACAGTAGTGGAATTTCGATCGAAAGACATGGAATAACAATGAAAAAGCGAAATTTTCAGAACTAGCTGCAATGGACCTCAAAAGCAATTTTACGTTGATTATTCCAATCAAAACACACATATTGTCATCCCTAAGGTTCCGTATCTACTTCTACTACTATTTAAATCTTCACATTCATAAAAAGAAAAAGTAAACGAAAAATTTATTGAAATGAAGATTTCGTATGGTTCAGAAATCCTCCTCTAAATTAAAGCATACGTGACCAAGGCCACTATGTTTGTAGCTACGTCAAGGTCTCTTCCATGGAATGAATACAAGAAACTTCTAAAAGAATCAGGCGTGCGCGAAAAAAATGAGTGTAATGGGTGCGGGGGATATATATCCCGCACGGTCCGACATGGCCTGCAATGCGCGGGATATATATCCCCCGCGTTGTCGTCAATGTGTTAACACTCCAGCTGAGGCGTAGTTTTTTCGATAACCGTTTCGAAAAAAAATGTGGGCGAAATGATGTCATCCTGTTGAAACCCCTATCCCTTCTAGTCAATGCCCATGGTAATCTCCTTGTAGAATGAAAACTCCTAGGATCCTTGGTCAACCGCCACGTTGGACAAGTTCCAAAAAATGTATGACCCCCCCCCTTCTAGGGGGCCTCGATACGAGAACATATGTGTCTTTGTGTGTATACGGATATATAAACATGCATCCTACTCGGGAGTAATCGAGATAAGTAATCGAGATAGTAGATAAGTTTAAGTAGTCGAGATATAAGGATTAAATACAAAACACCATAAAACAGAACATGGATATAAATAGAACTCTCCCGCCGGGGAACCGAATTGAGCACGGGAGCGTTGCGTTCGCATTGGCGCGCACAATCTTCCCTCCCCCCCCCCCACCCTCCCTTGACCCAGCGCGGATAGACCGAGGCGGACTACTAATTTTCAAAAGAGTGTAATTCTGTTCAGCGTCAATATTTTTTAAAATGCAAAGTGGATTTGTAATCTACGAGACCCTAGTTTCCGAAAACAACCACTTTTTTGCAGTTTCTTCAAAACTGTGTTAGTTATGGGGTAGAGAACCGGAATTCACAGAAATGCGCACTTCTTCCTTTGAAAGGTTGTAATTTTCTTCAAATAAGGAAATGTGAGAAGTGGTAAGAAAATTTTAAACACCAGATTGTTTTCTTTCTAAAAAGTACTCAAACTTTTGCAAGTCTCTTTTCTTCAAAAAATCGCCCCGTTGGACGTTTTTTTCAGAACCAGGTTTTTTGGCTTTCAATACTTTCTTCGGAATAAACATTTTGCATTTTCACAAGTACCTTTCTTCGGAATGAACATTTTGCATTTTTTCTCCCCTGGAATAAACTATAAGGTTCGAGCTTCCCTTACCTTAGGTTCCTTCAGGCTTTCTAAGATTTAAGGAAGCGATCACGCTGGCTTCCACGCTGGATTTGCTACCCTCGCGTTATCAATCGATAAGGTGTGAGGCAGTAATTGTTGGACGAGTGTAAGCCCATGGAAGATATGATGAGATAAGAAGGTGCGGCTGCTTGATAAGAGGTGCACTCCAGAATGAAAACGGGACGATAACGATAACGGTATCATATCTAGCACGCTCTTATCGCACCCCTTTCCACATCGATAAGTCTTGGTTTTTGCTACCGGAAGTGGATTTCGGCGCCTTATCACTCCGTTGATAAGGCGCCACTGCCACTGAAACTTCACGTGTTGTAACATTGGGCAGGACCCCTATCCACTCCAATACGTAGCTTTCCTTATCGTCCCCATGGGAATTATCGTGACAAGGCATCCACAACTCTCCGGTGTTGCTTCAAGTAAAGATAGATAAAGAAATTGTTCACGGCAAATACTATACAGCGTGGCGAAATGACGTGCTCCATAAAAAGTCCGAACTTTTTTTTTCACAATAATTCGAAAGTAATTATTTTTTCGAAGCATCAAATCATAATTTTCTAACATTGCGAAGATGTTTCGGAGCGGTCGCCATCAATTTTGATCCAGAACCAAATTTGTTTTTTCATCGGGTCGATGTGCGGCGGAGGCGTTCAACGCATAATTTATTCCAAAATTTGAAAACTTCTTCCGAGGGTCATCAAGATTTCTTCATTTCGATTCCTCACAATCTCTCCATCAAAACCTTAAACAGAGAAGTCCGACGAACCACATCCGGACTGTAAGTAGGCCGCAAATCCACAGCCAAGAAGAAGCCGATAGTGAGCAGCTGACAGCTTTCTTGAGGATCTCTTCTTGGTAGACTGTCCCATTTTTTCGACACTTTTACCGTTAAAAGCCTACGCAGACTTGCCCAAACACTGACCCAGCTCTAAATCGCCAGACTTTCAAAGTATAGAATTCTCGAGGCTATTTTCCAATTCAGAATGCTTCTGAGAGCTGACATAAGAAATGTCGCGCGCATGTAATTCGCCGCCCTATATAGTAATACTCTCTTGCTCTATGTTGCAATCAGTCCAAGAAATAACGCGGCACATCTAGCCATTGTAGGACTTTTGCTGTGACACGTGATTATTTCCGAAAAGCTTATTTCTAGGAGTCGTTAGCGATATGGAACCACATCCCATTCTTGGCTACATTGAGTATGTATGCATTGTGTGGTTCATTTTGGAGTACGGTAGGTTATTGATCACTTCTGATTGATTAATCTATGTCTTTCATACCTTCATCGACTTTTCTCATATTTCGATTCCCATTTGGCAGAATTTCGAAAACATTTCAACAGTCAGTCACAAATAATTGTACAGATGAACACAGAAAATCGCATTTTTTTCAA